CGTCAGCCATTCGTCGCGCATTGCCCGTTTACGCTGCAAGGTCCCTCTGTGGACAATGTCCTTGTCTTTGGTGCCCGTGGGTGTGACGCCCGAGTTATCCTGCTCGATGGACTCCTGGTAGAGCATGTCGTGCATATCGCCGGGGGAGAGGTATTGTGTTTCGGTGACTGTCCTGATCCAGCCGCGCTCCATCAGCCGCTGAATGATTTCGTACAGCTCCTCGACGGAGCCAATGTCGCTGTCATCCTGTTCTTGTCCGGGCTCTTCTGGAGCGCTGTTGTGGGTCACGCTGTCCACCTTGGAGGGCTTATGCACGCCGTTGGTCTTGCCGTGGCCGTTGGTGAGTTCCTTCGGATCTGGTTTTGAGTCGTCCAACTCAGAGGAGATGCCGTTTGTCACGCCGTTCGCCTTGCCTGTTCCGTTGACGTGATCGCCGTTGGTCCGTTTCCGCTTTGAGCCGGCTCCGTTGGCCGCGCCGTCGTCTGAGTCATAGTCGCTCTCGGTTTCGGAGGGGAAGTAGGCTTCTTTCAAGTCGGCGATGCGTGTGTGGCCGAGCGCGAGCAGGTTGGACATGACGTTGGCGGCCTTTTTGCCGTCGCGGTCTTGGACGAGCTTGACGATCTTGCCGAAGCGGACGATTGCGTACGAGTTTTGCCAGTCGATCTCGTAGTAGGTCAAGGGCGCATCGCTGCCGGAGTGGAAGATGAGGTGCTGCTGGAGGAGAATGACGAGGCCGTACTTGATCTGGCGCGGGTTCAGGTAGGAGACGCGTGCGATAGATGCGAGACTCTGGCGTCCGTGGCGCGCGAGGATCGAAAAGACCCGCTACGAGGAGTTAGAAGAGAGTTCTTGAATGCGCCCGTCGCATGCCTGGATGCAGAAGAATACTGCGCCCGAGCGCGACGATGCGCAGGGACTTAGTTCGACAAGACATACTGCCGCGAGTTCACCGTAGACATCCTTGACCAGGGAGGTGCAGAGTTCAGCAAGGACCTGCAGAGTGGTTGGTTATGATTCATGTGACATGGGCGAGGCGCATCGGCGGCGCGTCTTACCGGAGTCTCTCGCTGGTTGTAAGACATGATGGAGCCTAGATATTTGCCAGATATCTAGGGTGGGGTAATGCTACCGGGGAGACATTGGCGACGCACGGGGAGAACAAAGCTGGAGCAGAGGGAGCGAGGGTTGAGCAGCGACAGTCTTAGCGAACCTAGAAAATGATACCGGGTGGGGCAGAGCTCCGGCCAATGGAGCGGTGGTCGATGGCACTTACGGGGCTTGGCGGCCTACGAACTTTGTGACGGGCATCTCGACATCCGCACCACCAGACGTCTTTCCATCCATTGCCGTCCCCCGCACACCACCCAGCCCTCCGCCCGGCGCCTACACCACGATGCTCTCCCGAACGACCGCCTGCCGGGGCGCGCAGCGTGCAGCCCGCCAGCAGCCCGTCGCCCGCTGCCAGCGCCGCGGCCTGGCTGCCCCAGCTTCAGGCTCCTTCAACTACCAGGCCGGCGAGGCCAAGGGCGTCAAGTACGCCAGCAGAGACTTTGCCGGTCCCACGACGACGCTGGCCCTTGTCGCAAAGGCCGGCACGCGCTTCCAGCCGCTGCCCGGCCTGACCGAGGGCCTTGCCAACTTCGCTTTCCGGGTACGCTGAATTGAGACTGCCGATGCTATGGCGAGCGAGACTGACGCTCCGGACCTCTAGGGCACCGAAAGACGGTCGACGCTGCGCATTGTCCGCGAATCCGAGCTCCTGGGCGCCAGCCTCAACGCCCACCACTCGCGCGAGAACCTGGTGCTCGAGGCCAAGTTCCTCCGCGATGACCTGCCCTACTTCGTCGAGCTGCTCGGCGAGGTCGCCAGCTCCACCAAGTACCAGCGTAGGCAAAATTGATATCACGAGATGGATGGAATTGACACTGTGCAGCCCACGTCTACGCCGAGGAGGTGCTCCCCATGATCCACTTCGCCCACAAGAAGTTCCTCGCCAGCGTCACCGACATGGCCACCCAGTCTGCCCACAGCCTCGCCTTCCACCGCGGCCTCGGCGTCCCCACCGCCTCCGCTGCCCCCACGCCCTACACCAAGTACCTCGACGCCGAGACCATTGAGTGGTACTCCAAGATCGCCTACGCGAAGCCCAACTTCGCCGTCGTAGCCAACGGTGCCGACCACGGCGAGTTCTCCAAGTGGGTTGGCGAGTTCTTCGAGAACGTCCCCAGCGCCCCTCTCCAGGAGTCCAACACCGGAGCCGACCAGTCCAAGTACTACGGTGGTGAGGAGCGCATCGCCCACGACAGCGGCAACGCCATGGTCATTGCTTTCCCCGGCTCCAGCTCCTTCACCGGCAAGTTCTACAAGCCCGAGATTGCCGTCCTCAGCTCTCTCCTCGGAGGCGAGTCCGCCGTCAAGTGGTCGCAAGGCTTCACTAAGCTCGGCCAGGCCGCTGCTCAGGGTGCCAAGGTCAAGACCACCAGCGCCATCTACTCTGACGCCGGTCTCCTCTACACCACCATTACCGGATCCGCCAAGGCTGTTGCCCAAACCGCCCAGGCCGCCGTTGACGCTATCAAGAAGATTGCCTCCGGCGAGATCTCGAGCGAAGAGGTCTCCAAGGCAAAGGCCGCCGCCAAGTTCAAGGAGCTCGAGCACGGCCAGGACATCCGCGCTGGTCTCGAGCTTACTGGTAACGGGCTGATCCACAACACTCAACCGTACCAGATCGACGAGGTTGCCCAGAAGATTGACGGCGTAACAGAAGAGTCCGTCAAGAAGGTGAGTCTTTACACCATCAATACCTACGTGCTATGTGCTAACAACTACGTCAGGCTGCTAAGGAACTACTTGAGAGCAATGCCTCAGTATCATCTGTCGGTGACCTTTTCGTACTCCCCTACGCTGCGGATCTCGGCCTGAAGGTGTAAATACAGTGATTATGTAGCGCAGTAGATGTGGAATCTCGTTTGTGTAACATTATCTTGTGATAGTCCCTGATAGATGCATCTCGTATGAGAATTCTTTTGTTCAGACGCTTTTGAATGAAGTCAAATATGTGATAATCTGGATTCATACCTTTCTCTCGAATCGAGGTACCATCAAAGCCGACCTCCGTGAACGTAGTGAGAGGACCAAGCCTCCCACGTGCCAGCGCGTCAACGCACAGACCCGCCTGCACGCATCGACGTCAACAGACACGTCCACCCACGCATCCATCCCATACTGTGCTCAACAACCCCGCACATCGCACCGACTACCCCCCAAGCTCTCTCACAAACACCTTGCTCATTCATTGCGCAAGTCTCGCAAACAACAAACGCACGCCATGGCGCCGACCCTCTACCCCCGCGGCACCGTCAAGAAGATCGTCAAGGCGCATTCCAACAGGCCATTGAGCAAGAATGTTGATATACTGGTACGTTGATGCGATGAGTAGGAGTGGAGATGGGAGACTGACGTGCGACGTAGATATATTTGAACTATATGTTGTTCATGCAAGAGTACGTACCTTCCAGATCATACTCCACGATACGATGCGATGCGATGCGCTTCCTTCGATTCACATCACATCACGACGCGGTGCGACGAAGGTCAGATATTTTGAAAGGTCACAGAGGCAGGAAGCACTTTCGTGCGGGCGATGGGCGGATGTGGAGTCTGGGAAGAGGAAGAGAGACAGGAGGCTAACAACACCCACAGACTCATCAACGAAGCGAGTATTAAGAGCAAGCAACGCGGCGAGCGGGGACTATCTGCAAAAAGTGTCAAGAGGGTTAGCGAGGATGTTTTGAGGAAGTACAAGGGTTGAGTGTGGTGGGTTTGAGGGCATGAGCATGGTGCCTGTGAATGTGGGACTACGAGGGATGGTATGCTGTCGTCCCACTGGAGTTTGTCGACTTGCCGGACAATTTTGGAGGCGTTTTGGGGGATTTGAGTTTGGTGTTTGTGATACCCGGGTTAGTACTTATGGCGTAATGGTAACGATTTGACTTTTACGTGGTACTATATACGGTCACGGAAGCGATCGAAAGGCATGGGATAAATGGCCAATGTGTATTGAAGGATCACTGCTACGTTCTCGCAATAGGCATCGTCATGTAGCGATCGGTCACAATATCCCCCAATCGCATTTTCGTCGAGGGAACTTCCGGAGACAAGTATCCAACGCCGGACGCCTATCGTCCTCTTTGGTCTCTTTTTCACCAACTGTAAGTCGAATACCCCCTGCATCTGCTCGGCGTCTTGTCGTGCTAGAGTATGTATCTCTTCCTATCCTGAGCTTGGGGAAAATGAACCTCCGCCATGTCGAGGAACTGGACGATGTGAATTACTGCTACTCCCACATGCCTGTGTACACGTCGTAGTAATCTGACATTAGTGTGAGATTCATTGACTGGCGACCTGTCATACAAAGTTGATATGGGCTGTTCGCTGCGCTGCCGTTCATGAACTTGCCGGGGAGGGAACTTGGCTCGTCAATGTTGTAGTTAGAGAGAATCTTGCCCAACTCGGTAGCCTAATCGCGCAACTTTTCTTGTACTAGAATAGAGTTGTAATGATGTGGTTTGTTCCATATAATGATGGCTCGGTGGAACCCAGCTGCTTCCGCTATCCAAAGATCGAAGTCGGGCGGCTCGACTAGACGGGTCTCTACTCGGATTGACTTAATCTTAACAAGTTATTTGGCGAGCTCGTCTCCGAAGCACCAGTTGATCTAGGATTCTAGTAGTCTGTTTTAGAGGCTAAACTAATTTCGCACACGTGAGGTAACACGTGCTACGCAGCATGTGTAGCGTTGTAATCAGAACTTGCCTTTCTGGAAAAGACCTTTCGAGTCATTGAGTTCTACGCTTGTCTTTGTTGCGGCACATTCATCATCACGGTTCGGAGGCAGTATGCAACCAGAAAATCTTCTGAATGTGGGTACGACCACAAGGCTTAAAGTCTCTCATCTAATAGACTACATGCCCAACAATAAAAGCTGGCACGATACCTGCTTAGAGCTGCTTGAGCAAATATCTTTCTCCGTCATAGTACTTTCCACGCGACATGATTAAGATGTTCAGCTCCACCCATACTTCGGAGCCATTCTGGAGATAGAACCTCAATCTCCCTCTCGCTGTGAACAGATTGAGATTAAGGGTGACATCGTCCACCAAATTGCCGCTGACGTTACCGATAGCAGTGTCATTGACGGTGATCGTAGCATCGAAGTCGTGATTCCGCTTTGGATAGGCGAAACCTGAAATCTAGACGCGTCGTTAACATATGGTCACCGTTCCGAAACATCAACTCACAACAAGTGGACTTCTCGTCCATTCAACTGCTACTCCATCTCCTCTGTTCTTGAGTATCACGGGTGGAACAGTAGATTTATCGCGAACTTGAGTTACCGCAATGACACCGTCATCCCGTGTCTCAAACTCAACCGCAGGACCTGAAGGGTTAAGATGTTTGATGTAGTTGTCTGGGTACCCAACTCACCTGGACCTTCCTTTCTCTCGAGGTCAGACATATTCTTCTGAGGCGTTTGGGAGCTTAGGTATCCTGACAGTATCAATTTTCGATGAGATGGAACAAGGTTCTCTGGAGAGCGCTGGTCTACATGAGTCTACCTTAAGGGGGTTCCAATTTATACTTGACCTGTGCAATGATCTTACTCCGATACAGTTAAGAAGTCTCGTGATACGTGTGGACATCTCTGGCCACCATGGTCTTAGAACCAGTGCAATGCAATGCAGCAGTAGTCCAAGTTAGTATGCTGCTTGCTTACCCATGTTTTCGATGTTTGCTTTTGAAGTCGTGAATGCGTTTCCCCAGAAGACTAGCCGAATCGCGAGCAAAGAAGATCAGTTGGGTCTACTAGTGTAGTTTGCTTTTCAGTCTGTTGTACACAAAACTAGCGATATAACCAGATGATTTGCCAACGCTATCAACAACCTCCGACCGTTAACGCCTTCGCCAGTACGACATCAGTATGCCACGAATCCTGATGTCACGAGAACCACTGTAGTTACCTTAGCACCTGAATGCTCTACACACGCCAGGCGCTCAGCAGAGCACCCAGATTCTGCTGATTGGCTAGCTAAGCCCGAGCGCCGTGCGCACGGGTCCTACCTATATTTCCTCACCGCCTTTGTATCCTGCTTCTGTTTCCTTACGCAACGTCTGAGTACATGATAAATTGTGGATTTGGTGGGAAACATTGCTACAAAATGTGTACATGCAACATCAAAGACGCCCTCTAGTATCGGCGGGCCTCGCTCTCAAGCTTAGGCGCCCCGGATCGTTGCGAGAATACCTTTTCACCCAGATCTTCGCAGGTCTTTTGTACATAGTAGCCAGCGCTTTCATGTTCCGATTACGTAGAGTGAAGCATCGGCATGATTGGAGTCCGCCGCCTGAGCAGTATGCGTCCAGGCATGCAGAACTAGCAGTAGCGGTCTTGTACAAGACAAATGTTGGGCTTTGAAATGTGTAGCCTATCACCTCTCATCTATTAGCTCTAATACAAATGTGTTCTTGACGTTACAGTCTGTATCTCTGTGACATCCTAGACTAGCCCTAATTTGGTTTCGGTCCCTGTCACTACGCATCTTAGCGATGATAGTAGCAGCGGTTTTGCAGGAAATTAATAAACTGGTATCGAGCGGTGGTTCATTTGGCGCCGAGGCAGGAGGGCAAAGATAATTTGCAGTGCTGGGGCAGTCTGCGTCGTCTCCTGTCATGGACAACGTGGGAATGTTGTGCTCCTGGGCATTGCTGTCTGCTGGCCTACAACAAGACGAGTCTTTAGGAGCAGCGGGCATGCGCGAGTCATGTGCCGCATCCATATTAGAGGCTGAATCTTCTTGTACGCCACAAAGTTGACGTTGGAGGTTCAAGTCTGGCTGTGCAGGAGGCGGGGTTGATGACGACGCTACTGGCTAGATAGGAGCAGGCGTCGTAGGCAGCGCATGAATCGGCGCAAGCGGTCGAGCAGCAGGTTTGCATGCGCAGTCCTATTTCGTGTCGGACAGCACTATCTCTCAGCTCTGCCTGTTCGGACCGTCGTCGTACAGGCATGGGAGGAGCAATCCCGTCGTCAAAAGACCGCAAGTACGCGTTAACCTTGTCGCGCGCAACGCCACGGCTAGCAAGCAAACTTCTCAATCGCAAATTTTCCTCTACAGCTTTTTGCGCAGCACGCTGCATATCCTGCTTTACAGCAATGCCTTTCGCCTTGTACTTCTAGACTCGGCGTTGTAGATCCTAGATTAGTTCCTTGCGCTAGTTGCGAGAGCGTCTTTGATTTTCCTAGATCTACATTAAGGATAGTGTGTCGCTACCCTACTGCGCGATTAGTTACATGCGGCCAAGGACAAGAGACATGTTTGGATTGCCGTTGAAGATGGGTGGATGACACGCGAAGAATTGGGGTATGTCCAAGAGTTCCAGAGTCAGGTGAGGGGTTTGCGCTAATAACGCGGGAGAGCCGGATCGTCGCCACACTACCCAGCCCAGGTAGTTAGGTGCGTCTCAACGACCCTGATGGGCGATCTTCTTCTCATTCCGACTGCATCTTTCGATCATGCGCTTGATATCTACAAAAGCAAATTCTTGCTTTATGCTTCCCTCGTATCGATAATGTAGCAGCATAAGAAGATACTTTTTTCTTTTGATGTCCAACGGCTCTACGCACCCGATGCAAATAGCATATGCTACAACGAGGATCGAGGCCTGCAATGCCTATACGTGACTTTACTTACTATCCGCGAGTGCTATATATAGGCTAGAGGTACAAGAGGTGTAAAATCTCTTTCGTAAGCTAGTATTAGCCTTCTACTACTTTGCTTAAACTTTCTAACCTACTTAATAAGCAAGTAACCCAGACAAGTGTTACAGTCTAAGCTAGAGAATACCTAAGACTACTATTACAACGTAAAGACAGTTACTGCGAAGAGAAGAACTATTATCTCTAGTAGGTTTGCCTCTGTGTTTCCGTTACTTTAGACCTATACTAACACATCTCTTAAGTTACAACTCTAGCTGCCACTAATCTTCTTACTTCAGATCACGACTTAATCACCTTCCCCACAATCCACCCTTGAGCATACCTCTTACCCGTACCCGCCTCCGGAATTTCGACTTTGAACCCTCCACCAACATCACTCTTCTCCTTTCCCCCTTCCTCCTTACCCCCACCCTCCCCAACCACGCAATCCTTAATCTCCTTAACCGCCAACCCCAAACTAACACAACTCGCTACCATCCTCCTAACCTCATCCTCCCAGCTCGCCTTGACACCGTCCGCCTTCGCCGTGCCCACACCTAATCTCTTGTATTCAGCAAACGCCGTTTTCGCCGCCTTGATACGGTCATCGACTTCCTGCCAGAGCACGCTATCCCTATCTTGAACGTCCTGAACGAACGTCCGGGGCGGGGCTTCGGAAGCAGACGGCACCGGTCCGTAAGGCTGGCTATACGATTTGAAGTCGTCGAAAGGCGGTGCTTCGGGTGGTTGCAAGGCGAGGAAAGGTTTCATCCTGAGTTCATAGCGGAGCTTTTCTGTGGAAAAGGGAGTGCGGCGGGGCATGGGTAGTTTACCTAGGTAGCCGCAGATGACGTAGAAGCGGGCGAGAGCCAAGGCCAACGACGCTGTTCCTTCTGTCTCAGCGAGCAGGGAGTCTAGGAAGGGGGTCGCATCCTCCACGTCTTGGACCTCTCTGAAACGTCGTGATTTAAGAAGCTCGGTGGAAATACTGAGGTAGTGTGCTTCCACCCTCTTGAGCAACTCCTTCCGTCGTGTAGCGATGAGCGAGAGGAAGAGGTACATGCCCGCGTATTCATCCGGCAGGTAGATGTCCTGTTCGAAACCGAGTAAGATGACCTTTTCTATCATCCAGAGCTTCTTGTGGTAGACCCAGGTAGAGAGGGAGAATTCCATAACTTGGGCGCTCTGGCCGAGAGTGGCGGCCGCGGCAGATATGTCCATGTCGATTGAGCTTGCGTCGGCTTGAAGAAGGTCCCAGCCTGTAATGACGTGCGTCAACATGCGTCTCAGTCGGCAGCGGTTCTGGCCCATGGCGACCCAGAGATCGAGGTATGCTTGGCCGGCGCGGTCTACGAATTCGTCTATGAGCATTGCGAATTGGAGGCGCGGGGGTTTGGGGATCAGGGCATTGCGCGGTGGTGACATTGTCCAGTTGATGGGGTCTATGACGGGTGAAGACGGAAAGACGAGTGTCTTTACGTCGACAAGAGGGAGGGAGACGGAGGCGTTGAGGACGTCGGGGTGGAAGAGTAGAGTTGCTAGGTAGGAGCGGGCGTATGTCAGTGGCGGGGGTGAGCGAGCAGAGAAGTGCCAGAGGAAGGATTGGTATTCGAGGGGGTCCTGGGGCAGAGCGGGGAAGCGCGTGGCTTCGGCGCAATCAGTAGCTATCTGATGTAGCTTCTCCAACGCATCCATGAAGTCGAGTTCTACGACTGGTCGTGGGGGAACTGTAGAGGCGAGACGACGTTGCATCTTCGGACTGAAAGCACCAGGCACGGTCTTCCCAAGCTGATGCGTATTCTTCAGCGAATTGATACCTTGGAGGATCGGTGGCCATGAATAGGATATCTGATCGAGCGGTAGATCCAAGTCAAGGGCGCGAAGGAAGTCTTTCCGGAGTTCTAATCGTGAACTGATTGCCTTCCGGAGCGCATCATTGATCTCAAATTCGGGACTACGATGTGTTAGCAGGCCGTCGACTGTCAAGTCCGCGGTGAAGCATACTCCTCAATCGTCTCCATCGCAGCATCCAACTCCCTCAAAAACACATCCATCGGCACACTAACAAACAAAACCCGATTATACGTATGTGTGCAAAAGTCCTCCTCTTCAAAGTAATCCCTCCCCGTAATCTTCGCAATCACAAAGTCACACCCTTTGATCAACGCCAGGCAATACGCTCTCAGCACTTCCAGCAAAGGTCCAGGACGTCTCTCATGCAGAATCTCTCCACGGTAGAACTGCGCCTGCTCGAGGATCTTAGTCTCGGGCCAGAGCAGCTTATCGATGTGCAAAGACGTGAAGAGTGTTTGGGATAACGGGTAGCCGGTGTGCCAGGCCATTTCGTAGCAGAGTAGTTGGTCCATGATGCCTATTAGTTCCTCGGGTAGAAGGGGTGCCAGAGTGTCGTAGTCGTCTTCTAGGGTTTCCCCGGGCTGGAGGAAGCCGCTGTCCATTTTGGGGTCCATGATCTGTTGCATGTCAGAAATAGAGTCTGATTCGTGAAACAAGAACGGCGTACTTCGATGGCCCCGATCGACTCAAACAGCGTAAAGTATTCATCTTTGACGAGTTGACCGACTTCGAGAGCTGGATATTGTCAGTCTTTGTTGCCTGAACATATCGTCGCTACCACCATAGTACGACATGACGAGGCAGCCCCGCCATACCCCTCCATGTACCTGAGGTCACAACTCACCATTACAAGCTCTCGTGAACTTCTCCGTCACATCATGGATCTTTGGATGCGTCCCCGCTACCGG